ATCTAAAGAATATCCAAAAAAATTTGTCCACACTATCATTGTTTCTTTTACTTGTTCTTCTTTCATCTTCCAGTTTAAAAGAAATTTATAAAGTTTCTTAATCAGGTTTTCATCTGTTTTCAAAAGTATTTTGTCAAATTGTATCTGTTCTTTGTAAAATCCAATTGATTTTACAAGTTTTTCATATCTTGTTTGAATTTGCAAATAAGACCACCATGTTAAATCGATCCCTTGTTGTTGAAGATCTTGCCTATCTTTAAGTTTTCCGTCCGTTACTTATAAAATGTCTTTATAAGTAACAAGTTTGTCATAGTTAATTAAATTTGGGTAAGCAAACGCTTCCGTTGTTAAAAGCCATTCAGGTATTTTAGTGTAGATTTTGTGTTTAATTCTCTCCCATTCTGAGAGCAATACATTCCTTATGGCATGATTTTGAAAATATTTCTGTACTTTATTTTTCTCATGCCACAGAAACGCGTGCCAACCCAATTGCAGATCGTGTCCCTCTAAATAAAGAAGTCGTTTATTTCTCAGTGTAATCCATTCTTTAAGCCAAAGCAAGATAGCTGCTTGGTAATAAAGTCTCCAATCCGGAAGTCCAAAACCCCCTCTGTCTTTGGTTTCTTGTAACAATTTAGTTTTAATTTATGCTTTCTTCCCTTGCCATATAAATCTCAATATTGTTGCATTCAAATCATCAAAGAATTTCTTGCCCAGTTTAACAGGAGCTGTTTGAAATAGGAAAAGTAGTTTCGGTAAGATGTTCATCTTCACAGTTGCTATTTTTCTTAACAGTGACAACTGCAGATTTTTCCACAGTTGTTAAGCAAATTACTGCAGTTGTTAAGTGAATCATGTGGTTGTTAAGGGAATCTGGCTTCACCCATTGAGTTTTATTGTTGGAAACTAGTTGGAAAGGTTACAAATGATGATCATGTGACCCTAGAACAGTTCATCTATCATTAATACACGCCAGTTGCCAAGCACGTGAATTCGCATTAATGAACAGATCCATACTCTTTATTATATTACACAATCTAATATTTGTTGCAAATGGTTTTCAGTCAAAAAAACCAGCATCATCTGTGTAGAAAAATAAATTCATGCCCCCCATCAGTGCATCTCTAATGCACCAAAAGCATTTTTATACATTTCTTCACAAATATATTAAAGAGTAAAGATAAAAGGTAAAAGTTTCCCTGTCCAGTCGTATCTGACTTTAGGGGGCAGTACTAATATCCGTTTCTTAGCTGAAGGAATCAGCAGTTTGAAGACATTTTCTGTGGTCATGTGGCCAGCATGACTATACGCCAAGATGCACGGAATATTGTTACCGTATTTTTCCGTCTATAAGACACACCCTTGTATAAGACGCTCTGGCATGCGAGTTTCTCCGCGCCGATCAGCTGAGCTGGCAAACCCGGAAATTCAGCCGGCCAATGATCTTGCCCCCTCCCCTCTCCCATTAGCGGCAAGTCTACAGTGGCTTGACACCTGCACTAGGTGGCATGGCAACCCATACAGGCATGCCCTGGTCTGTGGAGGTTACCATTATTTTTCCATGTATAAAATGCTGCATTTGTATAAGACGCACCTGATTTTTGAACAGGATGTTTGCAAGAAAAAATAGCGTCTTATACACGGAAAAATATGGTATCTTCCCACTGAAGTGGTACATATTTATCTACCACTTTTTCATGCTTTCAGACTACTAGGAACTGGGGCAGAAATGGGAGCTCACCGTTGTGAGGTGCTCAGATCTCAAATCCAGGCTGACAAGCTCAGTGTCTTTAACCCGAGCCATCGTGCCCCCTCTATTAAAGAGTAAAGAAGTTATTACCCATCCCTGGCTTATTTCCTGCTCAATCTTAAACCATCTAATTTATAGCCATGCATATTTTTCTTCCATTTTTTTCCAATTCCTTCTTTCCATATTTCAAAAAAATCCATTACTTTTTCTTTGAACCAATAAGGAATAAACTTTTCTCACATTAAACAATAAACTTTTCTCAATTTTTTTTATCACATTATACACTTCTCAATGTCTTACTAAACAGCAAAAATCTAATCTACATAGACCTGTGTCAACATAAAGGCATATCATACTTCTCAAATGTTGCTATTACTTTTTGTCCTCTTTCAATGATAATTTTGCCACATACCTTTCCAGACTTAGCACACTAAGTTACTTATAATTACTTTCCCTTTACAAGGGGAATCATGCATTCTTCCACTAAGTAGGCCCAAATTCACTTCTTTTGTTCACTCTATCTGTAGCCTTGCAATTTTTCACTGTTATCACAGCATTTTTTCTTGGACATTAACATTTATTTCATTTTCATTTTTCCATATACAGTATTATTTCCATACAGATCTATAAAATGTTTCTTTCAACATTTCATTTTCCCCTCATTTTTATTACTTTTTATTCCACTCACTTTGCTGGAGGTTCTTTGTTTAGCTCCCTTCACTTATTTCTAATTAAAAAAAAAATCATCAAAATTATTCTGGATTTTCTCTGTCTCTTCTAATGTTAGCCATGTCTACTATTTTTAATTCTATTAATCATACACATATATTTTATATCAGTCTTCCTCTTATATGCATTTTTCTCATCTTCAGATTTTTCAGTTATTTTATAATTTCTTTCTTCTTCATGTTTCTCATTACATTACAAAAGCTTTACTTTAACTTTAATTTTATTGGGAGATTAATCTATATTTTAATATTTTATCATGTAAGTAAACTCATTTAAAACAAAGAGCATTATTTTTGAGACATTTATTTATAGGACATTCTTAATGGGAATTGAAAAATGTTAAAAGATTGTACAATATATTAGTGTCTGAAACACTGTGCTCTACCAAAACAACAAATAAATCATATATCCTTAATAGCAACAGCATTTAGATTTATAAACCACTCCATAGTGGTTTACAGCACTCTCTGTATAATGGCAACATATTGCCCCCAACAATCTGGGTCCTCATTTTATCGACCTAGAAAGGATGGAAGGCTGAGTTAACCTCGAGAAGATCAGGATAGTAGTGGGCAGAGTTAGCCTGCAATACTGTATACCAGTGATGGCGAACCTTTTAGAGACTGAGTGCCCAAACTGCCACCCAAAACCCACTTATGCATCATTGGGTGCCGGGTGGGTGTGGCCCATTGGGTGGGTGTGGCCCATTGGGTGGGTGTGGCCCATTGGGTGGGCGTGGCTACGGTGGTAACAGCAGACTAGCTGGGACTAAAAAGTTCAATCAATCAATTCCAACTTTGCAAGATCTTTTTTCCCGCGAGAAGTTGAAATTGACTGATTGAATCTTTTTTTTTGTACACGGTGGTGGAGGCGTAAAGCAAAAAGGTTTTATAAAACCCAGCTGAAGGCCTAGGACTGGGGAAATGGCGTGCGTGCTCACAGAGAGGGCTCTGAGTGCCGCCTCTGGCACCCTTGCCATAGGTTCACCACCACTGCTGTATACTAACCACTGCACCACCAGGCTTAACATATACTTAACCACAGTGACCTAATTATGACTCTTTTTGCTAGAGCTCATCTTTCTGCACCAAAGCAGGGAAGATCAAACATAGCATTAACCAGCTGCATGCCAGCGGTCAATACCACCACTATGCTACTACAGAATTTCAGCAACCAGAACCTGCTATTGTAGTTACAGAATCTGCTGCATCTTTTTGGTACCACTCAGCCAATAGGATGAGCTGGTTGTAAGGCAGTTGCCTTTACACCAGGCATGTCAAACTGCTGGCCCGTGGGCCGGATGCGTCACACCAAAACCACACCCACCCCACTGCTGGCAATGGGGAAAAAGTTGTGATACTTCGCGTGACATCACATGATGTCGCGAGTTTGACATGCCTGCTTTACACAGAACAAAGTCATAACTTAACAGAACCCAGCCATACTTTACTGAATAAAGCATACTAGGCAGAATTCACACAAAATACTAAACCTTATATAGATAGTCCTCGAATTATGACATGTGAGGCTAAAATTTATGTTGCTAAGCAAGGCCGTTGTTAAGTGAGTTTTCTCCCATTTTACAACCTTTCTTAGCATAGTTGTTAAGTGAATCATTGCAATTGTTGTTAAGTGACTCTGGTTTCCCCATTGACTTTTCTCGTCAAAGTCACAAATAGTGATCACGACTCCAGGACTTTGCAACTATTATAAATATGCACCAGGTGCCAAGCATCAGAATTTTGATCACATGACCATGGAGTTGCTGCAATGATCATAAGTGTGAAAAATGGTCACAGGTCCCTTTTTTTTAATGCGGTTGTAATTTTGACTGGTCATTAAACAAATGGTTTTAAGTACTGTGGTGTATTATCTACAATAGTTGGGTTCACAAACCACACTTTTGAAGAGCAAACAACTACATTATAATATACAGTATGTAAACTTACATTCTATAGATGAACAAATCCTTCATGGGAGCAAATCTTTCAGAGTCACACTGTCTGTGTGGATTTGTTCCACTGTCCCAACCTCTTCCCATTTTCCCAGATATTGTCTGTTGCTCTCTATCTAAACGTTAAGTAGGCTCCACTTTATTTGGCTTGGCAAATTAGCTAAACCAGGCGCTAGTTTATTGAATAAACTGCTACATCATTCCTAACACCACCCCCAGCCCCCCACCCTCCCTAAAATAAAGACTGCCGCTGTGCTTATCAACTAAAAAGGCTTAAAAAAATGGCCGGTTAGTTTGCGATTCAGCTCATTTTCCAGTTCTCGATTGTGGTTCCGCTCTGGTCCAGCGTGCTACACTATGTGAATCCTAGTAACTGATATGAGTAGAGTAAACCATAGTTTAGGTACCCAAGACTATCGCAGAGGAAACACCACTCGAGAGACGCGGAAAGCTCCTATCGTGACAAGTGCACCAACAGCAATTCTGCCCACCTCCAGTGCAAGCGCGGCTAGCGCCTCTCACACGAAGAATCCCCGCAGCAGAGAAGCTGCTCGAGGGAGCGCGGCTTGACGCGCCGAGGGGGCGGGGCTTGAGCACCCCAGAACCCGAGGCTCTTAAGATGGCGGCTCCTAAGGAGGGTGTCTGGCGAGGTCGGCGGTTGCGCGAGGGACCGAGAAGCTGAGTGGCTTCGGCCACCGACATGACTCGGGCCGGTCGGGTGAGAGCTGGCAGACTTTGGCGTGTCTCCGTTTTCCTGGCGGTAGCGGGGTGCCAGTGGGGGCAGCCGTGGTGCAAGCGGGGGCGGGAAGGAGGTAGGGGATGCCCATTACTTCCCACTGACCTTTGGCCCTACCCATCTTTCGGGCAGCCCGGTCCCGGTCCGAGAGCTTGGTGTTGACCTCGAAGAATCTGGGCGAGGAACTCCCTCTCCCGCTGGTCCGGGAAGCCGCCTTCGCCTAAATACAGTTTTGCCTCCGAAGTGTGGAGGAACAAGGCGAAGTCTGGAAGCGCCAATACTGACTTGGGAAGAGCCCGGAATTTTGAGCGGGTTAATTTTTCTACCTGTCTTCTACTAATCCACTCTCGTAATTCTCTTTTTCATTGTCGCTCTCTTCTCTCTCCTCTCCCCCCCCCGCCCCGCAGTAATACAGAGGTTTTGAACTTTATAGGCTAAAGCCGTTTTCGGCTACTGAAATGGTTGGCTAATAAGGAAGTGTTTAGAACTTTCTCATGTGTGTTTATACATCGCGGTGTATTCTGGAAAGCCAGCAAATATGGAGTTTATTCAAAAACCCATAGTATAAAAGAATGAATGAATCCAATCACGGTGTTTCATTTTAGGGGTTAGCTATATCTTACCAGAAAGAAAGAGAATGAAAGAAAGAAGAGTTATGAAAGATTAAGATTTCTGCCGGCAGAGCAATAGAAATACATTCGGGGAAAAAGTTGCAGCAGTTAAAATATGTTTGTATTGCTGGAAATGTCTAAAAATTAGTCTAGAAAGAATTGTAGTTGGATATTAAATTGGCTGCTTCATGAATCTTTGTTTTGAAAGTTGACATTGATTAAGAGGAACTTCTGGCATTTATTTGATGGCTAACACAGATGAGATACAAGATTAATAGTCAGTATACAATGGAAAGTAAAGGGAACATTCATTTTCCTGTTCTCAATTAGGATTATATTATTTGTAAATATGACAAATGATCTTAAAGTATGTATCTAAATGCTGTGTTTTTATATATAATTTTCTGCAGATAACATTTATTAAAATGGGCAAACCTTACAAAAGATAAGATTTAAGATAAATAGACCAGTAGGATTTGAACATTTATTCTGCATATATCTCCTCCAGTAGCTGTTGTGAAGTAAAGTAAACTAACAAATCTGCGAACTGCTTAGTGTGTGGTTGCAATTAGATTGTCTCAGAATGAAATAAACAGTATATCTTTAAAGCATCTCATTATTTCTGGAATTGGAATGCATTCTTTTATTATCCAGCAAAATAGCAGGGCTGGGTAAATGGGGGTCCATACCTTCATGACAAAGCTGCTACACCACGGAAGCTCCAACAGCACGACCCAAAGCCTCAAAGTCCTGGGAACCTCCAACAGTGCATCTCCAAACCTCAACATCCTGGGAAATGCTCCAGCCCAGTCCCAGCTTTACCCGTCCTTGCTACCTGCACTCCAAGTCTCCTGCTGCCTCAGCTGACCTTTGATATTTTCTTGCTTCCATTGCTGATGAGGCATTCCCATCCTGGCTCTTCACAAAGAAACCATGTGAGCCATCTTCTCCATGTCTCACTTAGGAAACCTCCATGCACGACCTTGGAAAAAAAGCCTTGCAGAGCCAGCAGTTGCCTCACAAAGGGCCAAACCAGGCATGCTTTGTTAGCAGTGGGAGCAAGAAGACAGAAAAGGTCAGGGTAAGAGGCTGCAGAATATAGGGAGCCAAATGGCTAAAAGAAAGTACTCTGCAGTTGTAAGTGTGGGTGGGCTGCCAAGTGCCTGAATTTTGATCACATAACCACAGGGCAAAAAGGTAGTAATTCCTTTAGCTTCATAGCTTTGAATAGTAGCTGAACATGTGATCATAAGTCAAGGACTTAATATACTTCTTATATTAAGAAATAGTTTGATTCTTGGGAACAAAGTTAGTATGAAGTCAAGTTTCATTGTATACTACTGAAGCACCAGGATCAGCAGACTTAGGGGAATCTTGATATTTGCAAAAGTAAAAAAACAAAACAAAGAATAGCTGAAAAAAACATTGAATAGCTGAATGATTATGGGAAATATGAGAAAGGATATAATGAGAAATTGGCAGGTGGTATGAAATAAACTGGCTGAAATCTAAGCTGGAGCACCTAAATGGTAATGTTTAATTAAGGTTCTAGTTCTCTTAGATTTCTCTATCATAGAAAGTGTGTTGGTCTGCAGTATCCTTGCCACTGTGAACTGTAGGCAAAACATTTTTGTTCACTTTTGAGCATCTTTTCAAAAATCCCATCCCACATGATTGAGAAAGAAAATGTGCTAAGTTAAAAGTAGCGATACAGCTTTAGGAAATGTTAATAATTTGGTAGAAATGGAGGATTGGTTATATCTATGGTCATGATGGCCCCTCATATCAATCTTAGATGTCATATTACAATTTACCTATGTTTAATGGTTGATGCTTTGCTTTTGAATAAATTGTAAAACTGACTTTTTGATTAAGAAGTCAACTTTATGATTTAATTAGTACACAACAATTAAAGGATCCACAGCTTGATGTACAACACTCTTACCAAAGTACTCTTTTAATGAGCATTGAAACACAATTTGTACTGACATGCTTTCCCATTAACAGACTGTTCTTAGTACCTAACGGAAGTTGTAATTGTGGCTTTCAGATGACCTGAAAACAGGAAAATTGCAGTACAGATAGTTCTTACTGATTACAATAGGGACTAGTTGTTAAATGCAACATCATGTGACCTTATGACACTAGTTCTGTTGGTTGCAATTGTTAAATGAATTGTTGGTTTGTTAAGTGCAGTGTTACATGTCACAACTTGCTATTTCCTGCTAACTTCCCCATTGACTTTCCTCATCAGAAACCAACTGTAAATGGTGATCATGGGGTGCTGCAACTATTATCAATAGTTCCCAAGCATCTGAATCACGATGATGTGATAGCTACAACTTTGAAGTCCAGTTGTAAGTCTCTGTTTTCATGAGTTCAAATGGTCACTGAATGAATAGTCAGTAAGGAAGGACTATCTATATGTAAATTTGGATGACAGTGGACTGTTGACTTTTAAAGAAATTTTAGTTACTGAGTTGAATCTATTCAGTATGTATCTCTGCATCTGCAAAAATATTGTGGCATAGAATGAATATACAGTATTTACTGGGCTACCATAATTATTCAATTTTTTCACAGATTCCTCTACCCAATGCATATATCTTCTTTTTAGCTTTATCCTTATAACAATCCTGTATGGTATGTCAAATTAAGGAAGTTGCTGGCTCAGATTCATCCAGTGATCTTCCTGATAGGTTAGAATTTGAATCCAAATTTCAGTCTAGCTATAACTGTTGAAACATGTTAGCATATTTTGGGGTGAATGAAAATAGCAAAACTTGCCCCAAATCTATACCCAAGCAGGTCTGATCTAATCATTGAAAGACTTCTTGGTGGCCTGTACCTCATTTAATAACATTGTGTTTATTAACTGGGTTACTGTTGTAACTGAAGTTCACCTGTTCGTAATGCATCTGTCCACTGAGGGATAAGAAAGAAAAATATCTATTTGGAAGAATTTTACAGAAGTTATCAAGCATTTCTGAATTGCTTTAGAGAGAGAATGAAGATTGGGTCACAGTGGATGGGCTGTGGAAGACTGTTTGATTGTTTGCTTTTTATCTGTTAGAAGATATTAAGTTTTCAGTGTTGCATGTAGCCTCGTTGCTTGAATGAGGCTGAAATTACATATTTACACATACTTCTTATTTAGACAAATCCCCTATGCTGCATCTCTTTGTGATTGCTATACACAGTACAACGAACAGCATATATATAATAAAGAATAAACTAGTAATTTTCTTTTCTGGCATTTTGTTCTTGTAATTGTTGCAGCCTTTTATATGTTAGTTTTATTAACTACCAGTGATCAAGAAAGTACTCGACTAGCTTGTTAGCCATTTAATTGGTAAAATGATTTTTAATGTAGAAGTGATATGAAACAAATACTGATTAATATTGATAACAGTTGCAGCATCTAATAGATAATTAATAGTGAGTTTAGAATCTGTTTTACTATTATAAAATATTTTTAGATTATGAATCTAATCATGTTGGTACACTAATTGCATTTTTGTTAAATAAAGACTAAGAGGGAGTATGTATTTCTACTTAAAGGAAAACATTTTCATTATTTTTTAAAATCATTATGCAATTGGAAGACCTTCCCTACAATTAAATTGAAATATTTAAGGTTCTAACTAGCATATTAAAGTTTCACATGTCCTGAACAAGGCAGTAAATTGGCTTTGACTATAGCTCTAGAGTTTTTGGTATTGTTAGTTGTATTGCAAGAAATAAAGTGTCCTACTATCGTTATTTGTTAGCAGACCATCTTCAATAATAGTATCTTGTACCAAATACCTCTTTGTATAACAAATATCTTTAAACATAGAAAAAAAGCTAGATTAAGTATTCAAATTAATGAATCCTTATCACTTTACCTTCCTGAAATTATCCAGTAATATACAGGTATTCCTTGACTTACAACAGTTCATTCAGTGACTGTTCAAAGTTACAACGGCACTGAAAAAGATTGTTTTTCACACTTACAACTATTAAGTATTCCCATGATCATGTGTTCAAAATTCAAGTGCTTGGCAACTGACCCATATTTATGACGGTTGCAGTGTCCATGGGTCATGTGATCTCCTTTTGCAACTTTCTGACAAGCAAGGTCAGTGGGGAAGCCAGATTCATTTAACAAGTGGGTTACCAACATATCAACTGCAATGATTCACTTAACAAATGTGGCAAGAAAGGTCGTAAAATGGGGCAAAACTCACTTAACAAATGTCTTACTTAACAGAAATTTTGGGTTCAATTGCGGTTGTAAGTCAAGAACCACCTATATCATTTTCTTCCTTTTTGTAAATTATATACTGCAAGATATGAGATTGTTTTTGAACTCATGGGTTATATAAATAGATAGACAGATTGATAGATAGATCATGAAGGATTCTTGGCTAACAAATAACAGCAGGTTGTTTTTTCTAGCTGTAGGAACCTTTGTACAAATCAGAGGTCCCCAACCTTTTGGGCACCAGGGACCGGTTCTGTGGAAAGAGGTTTTTCCGCAGACCGGAGGGGGCATGGTTTCATGTACTGCCTGCATCTCGTGAATGGTTTCATGTACTGCCTGCATCTCTTCGCTTGTTTGTGCGGCCCAGTTGCTGGCATGCTGCGGGCCGGTACTGGTCCACAGACCAGGGGTTGGGGACCCCTGGTATAAATGATTTGAAGTAGTTTCTGTGGTTGTGGCAGTTTATACTGAAAAGCTATAGAGTCAAATAAAAGAACAGAGTTGCCTTATTGTCATTTTTCTTGTCAAAAATACTTTCTTCCTCCTCCTCTTTATACTCTTTTACCTGTACTGATTTAACAGACCTTTATTTTAAGATCATTATTTTAAGAATTTTACATAAAGCCTTATGGGTTATCCTATACTAATTTTTTAAAACCTCTCATGTAATAGCTGCCATTTCAGGATATAAGGTTGACCTCCAGCATAAGAGCAATAAGGATACGTTACACTAAGATCCCTAAAGGCTAAAAATTGGGCCACAGTATGTCAGTCATTATAAATACATATTGTGTGTTCTCTGTTCTTTAAAGACAGTTCTAAGTGGAGTTGATTTTAGTCATTGTGATTTAAATCTCTGTGTGTGGGACAAAGAGTGCTGTTTTCACCTCGGAGCATTTTCAGAATGGACAGAACAGGATCAAAATAATTTTTTTGAACATGAAACAGTACTTCAAATTTGGATGTTTTAAATAGCTTCCTAGAGACAATTATGAATATATATACATATATCTTACTTTCATTGTGTTATTGATCTGAGAGTCTTAATCGTTTCATTTTTTGTGGCGTGATACTAAAAGCATAATGAAATCTATTTTTTTCCCCCTCATTTTCAGGCGAAAATGCAAAACCTAAGAAACTGTTGGGCTGATGAATTTCTATAATATATTCTCAACATTGTGAGATTGACAATGGATAAATGTAAGCATGTAGGCCGACTGCGGCTTGCTCAGGACCATTCAATTGTGAATCCTCACAAATGGCATTGTATGGTATGCAATACTACAGAATCTGTATGGGCCTGTCTCAGTTGCTCTCATGTTGCTTGTGGAAGATATATTGAAGAACATGCACTAAAGCACTTTCAGGAAAGCAATCATCCAGTAGCATTGGAAGTAAATGAGCTGTACATTTTTTGCTACCTTTGTGATGATTATGTTCTTAATGATAACACAACTGGTGACATAAAACTTTTACGAAGTATATTAAGTGCAATCAAGAGCCAGAATTATGACTGTACTACTCGGAGTGGTAGGATTTTGCGATCTATGGGCATAAGCGATGATCTTTCACATAATAATGCTCAAGCTTTGCTTCGAAGTCAAGACCGTATGTTCACAGCCCTGTGGCACAGGAGGCATGCATTAATGGGCAAAGTATTTAGAACTTGGTTTGAACTAACACCAACTGGGAAAAGGATTTTAGAAGAAGATAAGCTGTGTGAACAGGCAGAAGAAAGACGAGTCAATGCTAGGAAGAAAAGAGAAGAGCGGAAACGTCAATTGAAGGAGGAAATGGAAAAAATACCACCAAGGAAAAGCTTTCGCTTGCAAAAACAAAACAAAGAATCTTCAGTCTGTGCACTAAAAATGCCACAAAGTTTGGGCTCTGATATAGAGCTGAAAGTAACAGCTACCTCAGATGATGCAAAGTTAAAAAAAAGTAATGACTCTCCAGCCAAACGAAGATCTACTATGACTCCTGGTGTGACAGGACTACGAAACTTGGGAAATACTTGCTACATGAACTCTATTCTTCAGGTATTGAGTCATTTGTTCATATTTAGGGAATGTTTTTTAAAGCTTGATTTAAACCAAACACAAGAGTTGTTAGCAATTGGAGCCAGTGGCAAAACAAGATCATCTACAAAGCAGCCTCTGTCTGCTAGCTTTGATGTTCAAGAACACAAAACCTTTGGAAAGCACCAGACATTTTCCACAAGGCGATTTAGTACATCATCTGGTTTAAGTGGTGGTGGATCAAGTAATAGAAATATGGAACTTATTCAGCCCAAGGAACCAAGTTCAAAGTACATTTCTCTTTGTCATGAATTACATACTTTGTTTCAAGTTATGTGGTCTGGCAAGTGGGCATTGGTGTCTCCTTTTGCCATGCTCCATTCTGTGTGGAGATTAATCCCAGCCTTCCATGGTTATGCCCAACAAGATGCTCAGGAATTTCTTTGTGAACTTTTGGATAAAGTCCAACAAGAATTGGAGACAGTTAGATCAAAAAGCCCGACCCTCATTCCAGCTTCTCAAAGGAAACTCATTAAAAAAGTTTTGAATGTGGTCAACACTATTTTTCATGGACAGCTTTTAAGTCAGGTAAATACTTTAGAATAAGATTATTCAGTGAATGAGTGATGGAAAATTCGGTGTAGTATAAGATTGCAGACTCAGCCTCCTTACTGTTTTATATTAAATCAGAATCCAACTTAATATTGTATTATGAGTAAGCAATATTTTGTACTGTTTCAAGCAGGCTTCAGACCCTGCCTGCTATATCACTTATTTCTTAAATTAAGAATTGTCTTGTTTCTTATGGTTCTGCCAGCATATTATGATAGTGTAAAGTCATAGTTACACAGACTTCCATTGGTACACAAGCAGAATGTGTTTAAAAAGAAGACATTACTTGTGACAATACTCTTACTCTGAGAGTCACAAGAAAGTATAACTGGCATCAATCCAGAATTTCTCCTGGTACAAGGACAAAGATTTTAAGTTAATCTTTTTATGGCCTTCACTGTTTGAAGGCTTTTCTGCTTTTAAAGTTGTTATATTTAATAACAGAACTGAATTTTAATTTTATTTACATTGCACAGGGATTCCCTGTAGATGAAACTACAAATAGTTCTCAATTTATGACCACAACTGACCCCAAAATTTATGTTACTTAATAAAACTGTTGTTAAGTGAATTTTGCCCCATTTTACGACCTTTCTTGCCACCATTGTTAAATGAATCACTACAGTTGTTAAATTAGTAATACGATTGTTAAATGAATCTGGTTTCTCCATTGACTTTGCTTGTCAGAAGTTCGCAAAAGGTAATCACGTCACCCAGGACATTGCAACTCTCATAAATATGAGTCAGTTGCCAAGTGTCTGAAGTTTGATCACGTGACCGTGAGGATGCTACAATGGTCATAAGCCATTGTAACTTTGAATGGTCACTAAATGAATTGTTGGAAGTTGAGGACTACCTGTATTTTAACAAATATAAAAAATACTTGTTCCTTAGTAAAGATCTGGAGGTAATTTCAAAAGTAAAATAAATTCAGTAGAACAAGTAAAAATAAGCAACAGCATTTCCATAATTTAAGAGCTTGGTTAAATGAAAAATTACTTCCATTTAGCCGCAGAATGGATATTTAATCCTGTTAGAGCTGTGTTTGTCTATGATAGTACGACCTTTTCCAACTAAACAACTTTAGCTTAGCTTAGCTTAAGCTTTTGTGAGTTGTAGCTCACTTACATCTGATGAAAGCTGCTCACTTGCATCTGATGAAAGCTGCTCACTTGCATCTGATGAAGTGAATTGCAGTTCATAAACATGTATGCATTTTAATAAACAATGTGTTAATTAAAAAAGGTTCTAATGGAATCATCCTGAATTTTTTTTGCAATGTATAAGTATGAGGCTGTTGTATTTTTTCTTACTTTTTATATAATATAACAATGTAATTTAAACAATGTGTTCCTTTGAATCTGTTTCTAAAATCCTTGTCAAGCTTCCAGCACTTTGATTCACAATTCAGTTACTCCAAAAGATCTGTACTTTTCTTTGATGGAACTGCTCTGGAATTCCATCAACTGCTCTGGAATTCCAATTCAGATAGCTTGTTAGAATGTCTTCTGTTATCCAAGTATATTTTACTCCTGAATGTCATTAACGCTCTGTGTGCATGTAATTTATCCTTATTTGTTTGTTAGTCTGTTAGATTGATTAGATTGTTATCCCATTGCAATTATTTTTATAAATGACTCAAGGCAGAAAATATACATAATACTCCTTCCTCCTATTTTCTCCACAATACCCCTGTGAGGTGGGTTGGACAGAGAAAGAGTAATGCCTTATTGTGGTAGCTATGATTGGATAATTATTTTGTGGTTGGAAAGTTTGCTTTTAAAGGATCTGCACTATGTCTGCTCCTAATGAGGGAAGACTTCATTTCATACTCAGGTGACAGATTCTCACTTAGGTGAGCATGGGTCTTCATTTACATACTCCTTGAGTCCAGAAACAGAGTTCTACAATTGTAAAAGTCCCTCACTGTTGATCTGCAAGCAGTCTCTGGTCATGATATGCAAATTCTGAGATATTTACAAGTGTTTGAAAACTAGTATAGTCCATTGAAAGCTGATGGTATGTTTACACAAATTTGGAAACAAGGGCATTTGGTGACATTTGTATGGAGATTCCCACACATATTTCCAAGTAATAGCATATGCTGAGCCACCCATCTCTGTTTTGTCATACAAGAAGGAAGAAGAGAAATAATTCATAATACATATGATAGCAAATATATTTAAACTGTAGCAACATTCTTTATATTTCCTATAAGATTTTAGTTGTATACTGTACTTCAGAGAAGAAATATAAGAGTATTGAGATAAAAAATGGACCCTGAGCTTTGGATCCTTCATCAATCATTAGTAAAAAGTCATGTCTTTTTTGGGCTTGCATATATCAGGGAAATATATGATGAAAGGGAGCCAACATGCGAGTATACTTTCCATAAGATCTCCTGAATGCTACTATTTCCTAAGCCATGAGTCTACCATGTAGGCTTAGGAAGAGAATAATGTTAAGGAGCTGCCAGTAGGTAGAATAAAGTACCCACACTGGATCTAAAGCAATTTGTTCTCTTTAGATCCAAATATTTATACTGTACAAATATCCAAATAGGTCACACTGTACTGTATTCTTTATCATCTTAATTTAATTTATTCTTCATTGGTCTTTCCTGTATATTTATGCACACTATAGCATTTATTTAAAGATTAAAGCTTTTAAATCAATAAGCCTTTGGGGCTAAAAAAAAAGTGTTTTGTTTTATACAAATTTCCTACAGTGAAATACAATTAAGTATTGTATGCAGCCCATCCATCCATCCATAATATCTTTAATGTAACTTTTCTGGGCTTGTATGAATTGGGAACTTAGTGAAATATGCCAATCCAAATATACTTTGCTTATTTGAAGACTCCCAGATCTGACCGGTGTCAACTTTGAAAATGAGCATGGCTACAGCCATTTTCCCTACTCATTTTCAGTTGACACATAGCACAAAGGGAGGGGGGTTTACCAGGTGCTTCGCTAGACTAATGGGAACCAAGGTCATCGGCTGTCCCCGGGACTGTAGGCTGGGTGCTTGTGGAAAGCCCGCCAAGAAGATGTATTGGGCAATATAGTAGCTTGCATAGCTTTAGGGGTGGGATTTCTTAACTTTGTATTGGGGATTGTTACGTGTCTATTCAGACTTGGTTTATTTATTTGTGAGACTTATATACCGCTTTAAGTGCGAGCACTCTCTAAGCGGTGTACACCAGTAAGCAATGTATATATATATTTACATTGCCCCCAACAATCTGGGTCCTCATTTTACCTACCCTGGAAGGATGGAAGGCTGAGTCAACCTTGAGCCGGTGAGATTTGAACCGCTGACCTGCTGAACACAGTCAGCTAAAGTGGCCTGCAGTACTGCACCCTACTGCTGCGCCACCTCGGCTGGTTTCACTTTTGACGTGCCGATACTTTGTATCAATAAACATGTTCTTTGAGGAACTTGCAAGCCTCGGAGTTCTGCTTTATTTGTCTCGGTCGGAACCATGACAGCGTTTTCTACAAAGTTTTTATAGTTTTAAGATATACACTTGTATGACATTATATGATTTCTTCTATAAAACTGTACTTTGCTATAATATAATTAACCCTTCTCTTTGAGGGAAAAGCTAGTTATAGTTTCCAATTTTGATTTAATCTTTAAATGTCAGTGGATCCATTTAAAATTAAGGATGAATATCCTACAAGATGAGAGAGAAAACAAGTAATTTCTCTTTGCATTGTTTATTCATATATACCGTGTTTCCCAGAAAATAAGACCAGTCTTATATTTTTTTTTTGCCTCCAAAAGAGTCACCAGGTCTTATTTTCAAGGGATGTCTTACCTGCTTACCTTAAGTTCGCCGTGGCGAGGCCTCCCATGCCAATATCTGTTGTGCCGCCTGAGTTCTGCAGCTGCTCACAGCAGGAAGCCACATGGCACATTGTGCCAGTGCCACCGTTCGTGGCAGGCTACATGGCTTGTGCTGTGGCAGCACGAGCAGCGGCACCAGCATGATGTGCCACATGCAGCCGGCCGCAAGCAGCCGCAAAAGAACTCGGACAGTAGTATGACAGGTGTTGGGGCATGGGAAGCCTGGCTAAGGTAAGCGGGTGCAGGATGCATAGGTCAGCTCTACCCCCCACCCCTGCCCTAGCTTGAATTTTACACGTGTGCTTTGCCCCAAAGCTAGGGCTTATTTTGGGTGTAGGGCTTATATTAGGCGCAGATGTAAAAATCAGACTAGGGCTTGTTTTGGGGTAGATCTTATTTTTGGGGAAACATGTAGAACAGGAAATTCAGATTAACTGATGATTTGTATTGACAGGTAACATGCCTTGCATGTGACAACGAATCAAATACTGTAGAGCCTTTCTGGGACTTGTCATTGGAATTTCCTGAAAGATACCACTGCAATGGGAGAGAGACAACCTGTCAGTATCCATGCTTGTTGACAGAGATGTTGGCCAAATTTACAGAAACTGAAGCTTTAGAAGGGAAGATATATGCCTGTAACCAGTGCAACAGTGAGTAAAGACTGTATGTACTCAGGGATCTGATTTTCATATATGAGGTTAACTAACTAATAGGGTTATTTTTTAAAAAATGTTACTTATGTGAAATATTTTAACAGAATGTGAAACAAACTTTGTGCTTACATCATTAGCACAAGTGGCTATTTATTACATTTTGCATGTTTACCAGTGAATGTATACTGCAATCTAAATTGTATCTTGACTGTTCTACCAATCAAAATGTGTTTTTATGATAGTTCTAAAGTGATTACTTCTTTCTAATTTAACTTGGTATCTACAAAAATTCTGTTAATGTATTTTGGAATAGTTCTAGAATGCCTCATTTGTATTTTTATCATGTATATTATGCACATATTAAAGGTATTAATCTAATTTTATGATGTGATCTGCTATAAATTAGAGGGAGGCTATTTTTCTTACAGCAAAACGAAGAAAATTTTCTTCTAAACCTGTTCTACTCACAGAGGCACAGAAGCAGCTTCTGGTGTGCCACCTACCTCAGATTCTGCGGTTACACCTTAAGCGATTCAGGTAATATCCATAAATTGTATTTGTGAGGTTTATTTTGTTTTTACTTTTTTACTTTTTTTCAATGAAGTATTCCTTCTTTAATGGTCATTAAGCTACGTTCTCTATATGATATCCTCATTACTATAATGTCTTTAGGAAAGTAATTAAGAAATGTTTTGTAATAATTATTACAGCTGATATAAAGTACTATAAACATTTTAGTAGCAAGTAGCAACATTGTGGAAAGTGTTAGTAGAGATCTTCAAATAGAGGCTGATTAGCTATTTATAGCTGTCTAGTTCTGATTTTCCTGCATTGAACAGACGATATGATGATAACCCGTTTGGATTCATTGCTATGATACTGAACAAAAGTCATACTCCTTTCTGTAGTACACAATATTTTTGGACTATTGGACTACTATGTTATTTAGTAGTAAGTTAATTTATAAAAGTGAAATAAGTAAATTCTTTCAAAATATGAATAAAAAAAAAGTTTCATTTTTCTTCCTGTAGATGGTCAGGACGCAATCATCGTGAGAAGATTGGTGTGCATGTCAACTTTGATGAGATACTAAACTTGGAACCCTATTGTTGCAGAAAATCTCTAAAATCCCTTGTGGCAGATTACTTTATTTATGATTTGTCTGCTGTTGTGATGCATCATGGGAAAGGATTTGGTTCAGGACACTACACTGCCTATTGCTATAATTCAGATGGAGGTAATTCATATGGAAATGCACAGATTACTGGGTTTATGATAAATGCAATTGACAAGGTTATGGCAATTTTGGAGATATTTTTATGTTATAAGTAATGTTTACATTCTTGAGATTCATAAACTGGAAATTTGAAAATATTATAGCATATAACATTGAAAAATCAGTCTCTTAGCTGAACTACCTTGCATAAAATCCCATTTTCCCTGGATATTAGAAACTGTTTCATATAATTATTTCAGATACAGCTGTTTTTGTATTGGAGAACTTTGAAAGGTAGGTGTGTGTGTGTGTGTGTGTATCTTCATTACACTAGGAATGTTGCCTCTGTCTCTACAAATCACTACACAACTTGAATTAATTTAATTTGTTGTGGCTTTCATATGGAAGTGGTTGGTTACTATGGGAGCACAGTGCTGCTTCACTTAAATCTTTGGTCTGGTTCAGCACAATGTTAGTTATATACTTAATAAACTATAGATTCTTAAATTATAAAAATATCAATCTTGTGCTTTTAGAAGAAAACATCAGTGTTACCATTTTTATTATTATTTTTTCATTGTTTTAGGGTTCTGGGTACACTGCAATGATTCCAAGCTCACCATGTGCACTATGGAAGAAGTATGCAAGGCCCAGGCATATATTTTGTTTTATACCCAACGAGTTACTTTAATGAATGGACATTGGAGAATGTCAAGTCTTGATTCACCATCTGGAAAACAGGCAAATACTGAAGTTAATGGCTCCAATGTGAAAAGTAACAGCTAATTCAAAGCCAAATTGCTACGTACAGGATAAGTCTGAATTGTCACTTGGGCATGTATTTAGGCAAGTAAGCGCAATAATATACTAAATCTGCTTTCTGGAGCCAAACTCTATTACATGTTCAGATCTTTTATACCTTTTAAACTCATTCATGACAGTAACTTCCCAAGTTACTAGCATATATATATATACTCTGTGTGTGTGTGTGTGTGTGTGTGTAGCTATTGTTAAGAGAAAATCTTCCATTTGAATCTTTAAATTTTACCTCAAGCTGTTTTTCAGCATTTTAGTATTTTGAAGTAGGAAACTTAGATGAGGAATATGGGTGGGCAAATTCTAGACTATTTTTAAATTAAAAGCTGTGTTTTATACTAGTACTAGCAGTTCTGTGGATCTTGTCTGCAGGAATCTGTCTTGTTTTCATGATTAAAAGATATGATGGTAACAAATGTGTTTTTCTTCTGGCCATTTAAAATGTTCTCTTTCTTCTGTATCCAAAGAGTTTGAGTAGTACAATACTTCTCACATATTAAAGCTCTAAATCATTAGAAAGATCAGTAAGAACATTAGAATATTATCATTTCCCTAGCCTATTTATTGCTTCACTCCAGGAATACTGAACTAAATGGAAACCTGTGAGGAAGGTGTAAATGGCAATAATAATTGCAAAAAAACAGAGCTCATAGGTTTTCTGCCAGATTCTGTATCTAATCTATAGATAGGTAGTCCTTGGCTTACAACCAGTCACTTAGTGACTGAAGTAATGACAGACCCCCCTTCTGGATTTGAAGTTCTTACAGTCCCATTCCCCCCACCCCAATAGTCAACATGACTGCAATTTATGATGTTTGTTGCCAGAAACCTGTTTTCTACTGGTTCTGTAAAAAATGCCCATTGTGGACAATGAGTTTGCTTAACAACCATGGTAATTTGCTTAATGATCACCTCAAAACTATGTACAATTGGGTTTATTGCGTGATGACCTGCTTAATGACCATGACTTATACTTTAATTCCAAGGTCAGCTATGATCATAAGTTGAGGAATAACTACTCTGATCTGTGACTTGCCATAGTAAAATCCATGGAAGATAATAACTCTACTTTTGATTTTTGCTATAACATCTGGAAACATGGTTGTTTTTGTTTAGTAAGGTTTTACAGTACAGATGTATCAGTCATGTTATCAACATAGCATAGAGTAATTTTCCTAAATGCTGTTTATAGTTTCTATTGGAAAACAAAAATTGAGAACATTGCTCTGTACATATTAATGAATTTTTAGCCTAGGGTGTTCCCTCCTATCTAAATTTAAAGCCCTTTGTGTTCAATTTTCTTTGGAGTGCTTCAATTTCAGTTGCTCCTTTATGTTCATTTATCCAATGCAAAACTGCAGCATAGGCTAGCTTTGGTAATTAAGAGGGTCGTTCTGAGCAAATTGGAGGGAAAATTAGGTTATGTCTAGATTGCAATACTGTTCGTTGTTCATACTACTGCAACAATGATGCTCAAATTAATATTCTCCAGAACATAAAAAAAACATCCAAAATTGCCTTTAACTTTTTGTCCTAAATATGAAGTTATCTGAACTACAGTTCTCTCAAATTGTGGAATTCAAAAAATTTTCTCCATGATTTGGAGAAACCATTCTCATCTTTTGTGAAGTATCCTATGCAAAAAAGTCTTAATGGCAAGAAAGGCTGCTAATACCATACATTCGTATACAGGAACATTCACTTGGGAAATAAGCACTCGAGCCTTCTTACCATTTCTTCTGAAAACAGGTTTGCAAAAATGACTTTAGATATAGTTTAGATTACATAGAAATCTATTTTAATTCTTTATAGGAAACTTTTAAGAATCAAGTTAGCACTCTTGAATAACTGATTTCTTGCCACAGAATAGATCCATAGAAAGCCAAACCCAGGAAGTGTAATACAGAGGGTCTTTGTCCAAGTTACAGTAATAATTACATTGAATCTCATTCTTAGATTAAAATATTTGCTTTGGATATCTTATAGTGGTTAATTATGCCTTCCTCTGCATGTTTCATGTTACTGGCTATTGTTTGCAAGGCCAGCCTACTCCAGCAGATACCTTTTTCTTTTCCATGTATTATTTTCTGCATCACGCGAGGTAGCAAAATATATAATAATTCAGTCTTCAGAACACAGTGGTTCAAGTAAAAGACACATGGTAGAGCAAGCACACTAAAGAGCAAGTTATTTGCAGGCAGATAACATTACAAATTTAGAGGGCAAAAGTTCTGTTTTTACCACTTTAAAAGATGCACAAGATTATCTGTAAATAAAATAATGTGAAAGAGGAACAGAACAGAAATAGAAGATATGAAAAAGAAGGATTTAGTAAGAAATTAAAAGGACTGAGGAAAATCTCAATAGGAATAATACAATGAACATAAAAGACATTTACAATGCATCGGATTTCACTTCCACCCATGCTGAATTTATATTCTGTGACACAGATTTAATCTTTTAAAAGAAGCCCTAGTGTCTGTCTGTACAATCAGTTCAGGTAGTTCTTTTTAGCCTGTGCTTTAACATTTAGGTTAGCATAAATTCCAAATATAAAACATTTCTTTTTATATGCTTGCCAAGAAAGAGTTTCACCTTTCTAAGCTTAAGTAATACAAGTAGCGACAATAGATATTTTAATTTCAAAGACCTGATTGGTTTCTCTGTTGCAAAAAAAAAAAAAAAAAAAAAAGAAAGCTATGGTGTAAAGGAAAGGCTTCAGCTTTCATGAAAACCTAAAGTCAAAAATAGCATGCTTATTGTTTATACTTTGTTTTTCAAAAAGTCTTAAACATAGTGCTGATTGTTCAGCTGTTTCCAGTTCTATTTTTCTTTGTAGTAATACATACAAATATTAAAACTTCTTCATTTGGACACATAAGGCCAACACTGAAAGCTGAGTGCAAATCTTGTAACAGATACTTCATTCTAAATTCCTACTATATTTCTCTTATCCTGGTATCCTCTTGTTTCTATTTTTCTTTCTCCTTTTTCCCTAGGAATTATGCTTGATTTCTCATCAGTTCTCTCCAAGATTTGTGAAACTTTTTGCAGTACAATAAGCCATATCCCAGCAGCCTGCTGATTACAACTTGCTTGCAGTCTTTTACATGTATACTTTTTCTAACACAAACAATAAGAGCTCAATATTTAAAATATTCTTTTAGTGTCTACACAAACATGGAAAGTTATTAAAACTGAAGTATCCTTTCTGGGTTCTTAAGAATTCAGCATTATGTATTTTTAATTGCAATAACCAAGATTATTGCTTGGCAAAGCTATAATATACTTAGCAGCTTCAAAATGCCCAAATTAAATAGTACTGCAAGTAAGAAATCTCTTAAATAGTTCATACAATACTTTAATAAGCCCTGCAATTACTACATCGTAGCTTTACCAACATATTTAACAATTTTAACCTTTGGATCAACTATTAAATGTTCTATTAATCATATATGCAAACATTATAAGTTGATTTAATATTCCTGGTTTGAACAGAACAAAAAGCATTATGCTTCAAACTTTTTATATGTTAAGAATAGAATGATTCTGTGTGATTTTGATTCGCTTCAGCCATACTGCATAGGAGATGAACTACTTGTATCAAGCCTTTATAAGTAAAAATTTCTAATAAATTAAAAAATATAGAAGCTCACACTGTAGTTAATATAAATAGCCTGATATAGAACAGGAATATCAACACTAGCTAGTGTTTATCATACAGGAATGGCAGAGAATAAACATACTAGCCTATTTCAGTGGTAGCCTCCAAAATTCACTGAATAGATCCCACACTTGAAATTTGAGAGGGTTTTAATAAGCAATACAATAAGCAGCACTGTACTATTTTAATAAGCAATACAGTGCCCAAAAAAATAAAATGACCTTTGAGTTTGATTCCAGGTAACATCATGGATACACCATTGCAATTCTCTATATTGCACACCACTGCAGTTTTCTAAAAATACTATAGAGATATTTACACTGGTTTTTTAAAAAATTCCAAGTCTAAGCCTTGGATTTACCATATGTTGCCCCTTCAGTGCTGCTTAATTAATTTTGCAACCAGGTCAAGCAGCTGCAAAATTCCCTCAAATTCTATGCCAGCCCATCATGATTCACCATTTATTTCTCTTAAAGCCCTTGTACGGTTAAAAAAGGTACAGCATTTCATTGCAAGAAAAATGACCAGTCCTAGCCCACTCTCATTATATAAAGCATATCAGAAAGAAAACCCAGTAATTTAATTCGAAGCAAAATAAGGAAGCAAAATAAACATGTACACAATGTAATTGAAAACTAAACCATGATTTGTATTTGCTTGCTGTGCTTATACTGGAAACTTTCTTAACAGCAGGTGGGTTAATGGGAGAGACTTTCCAGTGTGTTACTGCCTTGGATTGTGACACTTTTAAAAACTATTTGAATTTATGATTTATTGATTTATTAATAAATTCCAGGCAGTTTAAAAGGCAACAGCAAAGACAGCTTAGGTGCAGAAATCATTTGTGATCATTCAAAGCATTCAAGTAAGAATATGGTAATATAAATACCCGAAAAGCATTTTTTCAGAATTATTTCAAACAACATGTATAACTCATTCCAAACTAAAAATAACACTTTGTAGCATATTTCTCACAAAAGAAAAATATAGAAGTAATCTGAAATATTCTAGAAGCCCCAGTAGCTGTTTTTTTTCTTAGTTACATTAGAGAACTTGCCTTTGATTAAATTCTTTTCTTCCGAACATGGAAAGTTATCACATTGAGTTGACTGTTAAAACAGACTGCAAATTTATTCTGTTATAACATGTTCCAAGAGAGTACATAAGTGAGGTAATGGCTTTGACATTTCAATAGTCATCTCCTCTGCTGACAACTTCTTTGCACATTGGACGCAATAATATGGTGTGCTCAAACTGTGCTGTGTATGAGCCTTTAATATCACATAGAGGAGGATATGGGTCCACAATACCCAAGTCACAAAGATTCTTCAGTGCCATTAGGTATTTACTTTCTCCCAGACGATCTAACCATCTACGGCAAAAGGCAAGAGTACCAAAATTTTCATTGATAACATTCAGCAAGTGTTTTGCTCTTGGAAGCCTAAAAGAAAGAAAATAATAAATGTATGTATAAGTTTAAAGCAGGCATTAATGAAAATGGAAATAATTATACAAAATCAGATCAGACATTCAACATGATCAGTTACTCTGGGCAGCTTATTAGTACATGGCTTTCAATAACAGGGATAGAGAGTAATCTATGAAAAAAAATGAAAGAAATGAGAGCAAAAGTAGAATGAATGAAAAAAATGTCCCAGTAGAATAAAAATAGATGTAATGAAAGAAATGAAAGATGCTTGGAATAATTAAAACAATTGTTTTACAGAATTATATGGAACTACATAAATGGGAAGTTATGAACAAGGATGCTTGGGGGAATGATAAGAGTGTCTACAGATAAGGACAATCATATAAGGAATCCTGCAAAAAATTAAGATGAGAAATTACGTAGATGTGGGTTGTTTTTAGAGTGATGGGGCAAATTCTGTGTGTGTGAAAACTTGCTTGACAACTGGAAAGAATGCCAATACTGTTCACTTATACAAAGGGAAAGGTAGTAAGAGTAAATGCAAAAACTACAACAAGATTAGCCTGTCAAAACTGCCTGGAAAAGTGTTTTACAGGATTGTAATCAAAGAACATGATAATGAGCAAATCTAGGAAATGCAGTGCAGCTTTATTTGGTTATTGGCTTTATTTCCTTTCAGGAAAACATCTATTAATCATTGTGAATTTTAATTCTTTAATGATCAGACACATTCCTTATGATTTGGGACGGGGCCTTTTCAATAACCATCTGATCCTTAATATGCAACCACTGAAATCGATATTGCCTACAATGTGAATAGTCTTTACACTTCATACGTGTTTTTGCCATTGTTTTATTATTACTATGATGACATGTCAGTATGATTCCTTTATGAGCTGAATATTAACTACCCAGAGTCTGTCAGGTCAAACATAATAAAAATGCAAGCAAATAAATAACTGAAGCCACTTGTGGTAACTTGAAGGCACAAAATTAGGATACTAATTTATTTGAAGTGCAGATATTATGCTGATATACCAATTTCTAATTTGTCCAAATCTAATTTTTCCTCTTGCTTTATCCATCAATAGATCCAAACCCCAAAATGGTAACATGCCACATGAACTCACCATTTTCAGAGCTAGAAAGGCCTAAACCATGCCAAAGAAGTTAGGTGTAACTTTGAAATATGACCTCCAAATTCATCTTCAAAGATTGCTTATACCATATTTTTTTGCTTATCCCATAAACTTTTCATTTGGCAGAGATGCCTGCTTTTAATATGCCAGTGCCAATAAAGCACTTTTTGGTGATAGTTTGCCTACTTTTTATTACTCATTTGAAAGTGCATTGTTATGTTGTATATTAGTAAAGACGTTCCCATCTGTTCAGAGAAATAAACAAAACTTGTATTTTTGGATGTATCACAAGAGAATTATGTTTCATATAAGCACTATGTTCTTACCACCTTTTTCAAGTTTTGAATTTGCCAGTATCTTTTTCCCCTAAATATAAGCATACTTAAAGTTACATTTCCATATAATGCAGTAAAATCAGCACTAACCTTATTGGCACATGTCCAACATCAAAGTTCTTCATATAATGAGAACATTCCATATCATCGTGAACAACCCCCTTTCCTGTGCTACCAAAGGTTTCTATAGCATAAACTTCTCCCTCCTATTAAAAAACAAACATGAGTTTATAGAGTATATAATACCTTCAAAATTATTTATCTGAGCTGGGCTATCCCCTCTAAAATTAATCTAGCCATAATCCTGTTTACACATAACATAACACCATTTTTTTTATTAAGAAGAAAATTAATCATTTTATTCCCCATGTCAGGAAGAGTAGCTGAATTAACCAGTAAGTCTTTCTTCATAGTTTGTTTCGCACTGTTATCTAAATCTCATTCGTTTTAAATATACAGCTATAAGATTTTGATTCTAAGCAATTCTAATTTAGCATTATGTCTATACCAGGACCATTACCTATTCTTCAAAAAGCTATTATTTAACTACAGTAGAATTTCTAAAAATTGTACGTATTATCTGCAAAACAGTACATGTGCAAAATACACTTAGAGTCAACATATTTACTACCTGCAAATTAGCAGTTTTCAAAGTGAATGCATATTTTTGTTCTAACATTTTACAAAGTTCCTACTGGAGCAATCCATTCAGCAGTGCAAGATCCTTTCTTGTGAAGACCATAGAAACCCTTTTTATTCAATGTTTACATGAAGCTACCAGTGAAGACTATCCATCAGCAAAATGGCAAGTATCATTACACTATACTAATATGGTGTTGTATATTAGATTTTTAACCCACCTCATGACATCTTAAACTGTTAATTTTTATGAGCAAAACAGTGGAAGTTAAAAGCATTGAAATCAATGGGACCTCCAAGTAAGCATGAGTAGGATCAGATTGTATCTATACTTACTTCCATTCTTGTTGCTTCTCCTCCTTTCACAATGGGAACAGTTTTGCCTGCGTGTATCCTATATGGCCCAATAGAGTGTCCATTCAGATTCCGAATAGGTTTCACTACATAAAATGTAAAATACTAAGATAAATATATGTAATTAAGAGGACAGTGTAAAATATCACAGGAAATGTGAGGTTTAATGGACTTTGCCCATTTTCATAAGCTTTAGATTTATAAATGCATGAATCTTATGTTAATTTTGGCTGATTTACATATATTTAACAACTGGACAAATTACACTTTCTGAAATAAACAATTTTAAAAACTCAGTATTCAGAAGACTATATTGATGATTTAAAAATCAACTTCAAAATATTTTTTATTGTAGAAATAATATGTAGATAAGCAAACTCTTCAGTTTTCATCAGGATAATCATATATATTAGCTGGAAAATAAATCACCTTGATAGGTTTTGCCGTCAATTTCAACTTCATAAGATTCCATGACTTCCTGGATAGCCTCACCAACATCACAAAGGCGAACATCTATCCCAGCACACTATTCATATACAAGAGAAAATGATAATTATTTTTATCTTCAGTTTTACAGTGTGTGGATAAGAACAGAACTGTACTATTTTTCAGAGTATACCTTTATTCCAGTATTAGTTGCATCTTTTACAGCTTGTAAGAGCCTGTCATATTTTGGATTGAATGTGACAGTAAAAGCACAGTCAATGATACGACCTAAAAACAGATACAAAGGAGATAAAGTAATTTGCCTTCAACTAAATTAAATAATTATATTTTAAGAAAGAGGAACTCACCATTAATATGTGTTCCAAAATCTATCTTGCAGATGTCATCATACTGCAATACAGTTGGATCTCCAGCATTGGGGGTATAGTGGGCTGCACAATTATTCAGAGAACACCCCGTGGGAAATGCAAGCCCAGCATTTAAGCCATTTTCTCGTATCAATTTCCGTGAACAATCTTCTAATTTTTCACTGAAAAGCAAACATCTATATTACATAAAAGGGTTTGTTTCCATATATTTACTTAGCTGTATAGAAGCCATGTTTCAGTTGTTTCTAGTACATTATTTCTAGGCATACCATTGACATTATACAGTACTGTGTAAAGACTAATATTTTCTGTTTCAGAAGTATAAATGCTATGCAAACTTTGATGTAGTATGCAAACCTATAGATATTTCATAGTATTTTAAATAGTTTTGCATAATACTGGGAAACTACTGATAACCTTATAACTCTAGATGTAATTATTCAAAATAAATGAACAACAGTTTTCATTGCTTTATAGAATCATTATGCCAAGCATCTGCATTCATCAAGGCTTGTACCCCAAAAATCATTAAAAGTTAAACCCACAAAAAATGTCAGCTACCATGCCATCTACTTTTAAATTAAAATGTTATATTATTTTAAAAAAATGTTACTATATATTATCATTACCAAATTTCGATCATTGTCATTCCAGGTTTGATCCAGCTCATAACGTATTTCCTCACTTGTCTATGGGCTTCAGCAGCCTCTCTGAAATCATTCCAGATCTCTTCACTTGCTTGATCTAGTGCTCTCTTTTCATCACTTGTAGTCCTCCAAGCAGCAGTTCTCCTTTAATATTGAAAAGTCAGATATTTGTCACCATAAAGTGAAATACAAACCAAGTATCAGATGAATTTCAATTTGGGGTGGGAGGATGCAGAGAGTGATAGCAGAATTCACTAATATAATATGTAACATTTCAAAATACTAATTTTCATCCAACTCAAAACTGACATTAACACTTTTTGCCATATGACTACAAAAAATGCCAAAAGGTTCTTTAAGCTGTCAAGTAATTACAATTATCTCTTTAAACATGAAAATACTGTATTTACATTATGACTGGATTCACAGAACATGCTGAATCATGGTTTATTGACTACATCATGACTAGGATACAATCACACAGGCCAAGCTATTTATTTATAGTTCATGGACTCATAAACAAGCTATGTATTATTGAACAAACTATGCTTTGCACACTATGTGAATCCTGTTTATTTATACAAGAAAAAATCTTGGAATCAAATCTTGGAAGTTTTACATGTTTAAATGAAGAATTTGAAGAATTCTATGAAGTCTACCTATTCTGACTCTGATAATGTAATAATCAGCTACATAGCTCTGACAAATTATCTACTGAGATAAAAATAAGAGATTTGGGTTCCAGTACACATTATTCCTAATTATCAGCCAGACCCTGTAATGATCATATTCCATTTTCTCATATTTGGAAGGCAAATAATATATTTATATTCTGCCTTTATTATTTTTATAAATAACTTAAGGCTGCGAATGTATCTAATTTTCAACAACTAATTTTTAAAATATGATGCTGGTTATCATCCACAAAGCCTTTCATAGCATAGGATCTGTTTACTTGAGAGACCACTTGTCTTTGGTTGGTTCCATTGTCAGTTAGATTGGGAGAATAGGTATATTCCTGCTCCCATCAATTAAGCAGTATCATCTTTTTGGATCTAGGATCGGTGACTATCCTCTGCTAGAATGAATCTCTTCAGACATTTGGATGGTTCCCAGTCTGATGATGCTCAGGACACTATTAAAGACTTGGCCCTTTTCTCAATCTTTGGGGAGGTGCAAAACCTAAGGCCCTGTGGATAGGTTTTCTTTGGTTATACATTTTCTGAGGCCAATAGTGATACATACATACATGCAAACATGCTGCTGGTATTATTGGAAACACTTGGATATACCACAAACCATATAAATGCATGCCAAACCTATTCCTTGCCCAGATATATTATAAAGTGCAAAATAAAATATTTGAAGTATAGATGAATTTTTAAAAGTAATATCAATTAAATTATCGCTGCCTTGAACTCTATACTGAAAAAGACAAATCAAGATACATACCCATCTTGCGTTGCTGGATACTCGCATTCCTCGCCTTTTGGAAATATCCCACTGGGAAACAAGTCACATATTGGAATAGATGGTGGATCTGTCTGCAGTTTTGCTGTTGGCAGAAAGAGACTTTGAGTCTGTCTTAGAATAAAAAAAATCATTGTCAACAAATATTTTTTTAAAATAATCCTTACTTATTGTCTGAGTTTTAGTCAAAAACACAATACATATTAAATAAACAATTTTCAGAATGCTCAGAATTCCCCCCCCCCAACATTTTTCTTGGCCAATTTTAGATAAACTGCTGGTCTTATGGATACCATGTGAGTTTGAAACAATATTAACACATTTCACATGCCTCTAGGATAGAATCGACACTGCTCATAAAGCATGCTATAGAGGTAGAACTCACTCAATAACAATCATTTGGATGATAAACTCCATCACTAAGTGAATGTCTATGGAGATTCTCAGTCTTCCAGGTCATGGTTGTCCCACAGGTGCTTTTTCAAAAGGCAACTGGACTTTGTTTTGCTTCAAGATGTTTCGCTTCTTATCCAAGAAGTTTCTTCCGTTCTAACTGAATGGCGTAGAATGGAAAGATTTCTGCAAGGAAGATAAATCCTTCCATCTTCTACCATTTAGTCAGAACTGAAGAAGCTTCTTGGATGAGAAGCAAAATGTCTTCAAGCAAAACAAAGAAAGTCCAGTTACCTTTTGAAAAAACACCTTTGGGACAACACTAAGTGAAGTCATTAAGTGTGACATCACATGACCACACTGATTTATGACGGTAGTTGCAGCAGTTCTAATTGCGGTTCTTAGGCGAATCCCACAGTTGAAGCACTGAATAGTCACATGATCAGCATTTGTAACTTCCTCTTGGCTTCTGATTGGAAATCATGTGACGGTGGGACCATGCAACCATAACTGTAAACTGGTGGCCAAGCACACAAATTGTAATCAAGTGACCACAGGATGCTGCAACAATTACAACTACTAGAAACAATTGTGAATCCCCTCTTTCAGTACCCTCATAACTTTAAACGAGGACTACCTGTAGACATTTTCTATCTATACATAAATTAACTCATTTTATAAATATTTTAAAGCATCTATTATATCATTTGCCTCACTGATAGTCTTTTACTGCTAAAATTTTAAAGAAACAGTTTATTGATAGATTGATAGTATGTTTAATTTCAGAATCCAAATTTGTGCAAGCATCCATAGAAGATGAAATCAAAATATTAAATTGTCTTCATACTACAGTTAATTAATCAACTGTAAAAAAAATCAACTTTTTTTCACCAATCAACAAGGGCAAATCCAATATTTAAGAATGTTGCTCAAGAGCTTCCCAATGCTATAAGGCAGCCAACTAAGCAATGAACCATTGCTTTTATTTAGAATAAAGTAGTATTTTATGAACATTTCATGGAAGACAAATAGAATAATGATCAATATTTAACCAAAACCTACGTCCTTTCTTTTTCTTCTTTTTCTTCTTTTTCTTTCCTGCTGCACTGTCACCATCTCCTTCACCATCTACACAAAACAAATAGATATTAAATACTGAAAATGTCCTAAGAAAATAATATTTAGCCATTAGTCTATTATTGCAGTGGAAAAATAGAAACAATAATGAATTGGCCAATAAGTACAGTTAAAACTATTTATCATAGTAAATGCTTTACAATGAGTGATATATCAATCACATCTTCACAGTATTTTCTTCCGAGAAGATTAATTTGATGATAAAGTCACGGCAATGTTTTATCACAAATACTGCTGATATTGTGCACTAGATTACACACAATCATAGTTTATTTTATTTATATCCTAGCTTTCTTTGAACTCAAAAAACCGAGTTCCCAATTCCCATTTTTCCCATAAGAACAAGGATTTGTAACTTTTGATTAATTTTGCCCATTTTAACCTGATTTGGTTAAATGCCAAGCTTCCAGAAATTCCCTAGCATTTTTAGATTTGGCTTAGTCTAAGATTAGACATAGACATCATCATCTCTAGCAGCCCATGCTCCAATAAGCAGGGATCAACACCAGAAAAACAATCAAGCAGAAAACAATGTTCTAAACAAGGAACTACCAAGGAGGAAACCACATTCTGAACAAAATTGGCAGGGAAAGATACTGCACATATAAACAGATAGCAAATCCCAGCCAATCGCACTGATTATGTTACCAAGTTTATTTACTTATTTATTCTTTGCATTGCTATACTACCCATCTCTCCTAAATGACTCTGGGCAGCTAGTTAAATAATGAAATATGTGCAAACAGTTCAGGCAGCACAAAGAACTTCATAAAATAACATTAACTATGTGTATACAAGCTTACTGTAGATACCACTGTATTTGAATCAATGAAACTGTTTAAACTTACATGTCATCCATTTTTTCAGATAGCATATACATTGTACTTTAAACTAGTTAACATATTAATTATTGTGCACCACCCAGAGTCATTGGCAGCATGTAAGTTTAATATATTATTGATATGCTCCAGTTATCTGGCTGAAAACAAATGTAATATGTACATTAGATTTTTTTCTAATTATCCGGTATAATATTATATATATTATGTACATAGCCTTTTAATCAAAGAGCAGATAGCACAGTTCATATATGCCCTAAGCCATAACATGGCTTGTTTGCTTTTGGTATTCTTCTATCAACCTACAAGGTTTTGTAAATCAGAGTTAGTGTGACACATGGACCTATTTATTTTTGGCATTTCTAACCTACTGCAATCCAAAGATCTTTGGCAACTTATTATTCAGTAAACATATTTAAATGTCCCATGGCTAAATACTATGTGAGCCAAACCGTTTTTACAATAATCTATATAAGTTTCAACATGAATTTCAATTCTCCATTCTCATTCTTTCTTATTTTAGAAATACTTCTAGCACAAAGTCACATAAATGATATTTACCTTCATCATCATCATCTTTTTCCTTTTCTTCCAGTGTTTGTTTATCTAGTTGGTTTGCTACTTCATCAAGTGTTGCTTCTAAATCTCTTTCAGTCTCTTGTCCTACTTGCAAAATAAAGAGATAAATTAACACTAATGTCAACTTCCCAGATATCAGTGGTCTTACGTCTTTTTCTCAGGTCTATAATTCACAATAAAAAACTATACATTTTAGAAAGTTAGCTATAAATTCAAATCTATTCACTCTTAATTTAAACCCTTCTACTGAAAGAGTTTAAACCTATTTACACTTTCTACCTCCACAATCAGGTTATGTTCCTATATCTTATTTTTCTAAACTATGACAATCAGTTTGGTGCCATTTTGCAATAGTTAATTTCTTTTATCCCTACTGCTCAACCTATTTAGACTTTCCCTCATCTATAAGGTCATCAGTTACCTCTTTAAAAATATCATATTAAATAATGTACTGTGAACTATTAACTTAAATACAATTTCTCCTCATCTCTGTAAAGACTGTGCTTAATTTTTATTACCTTTAAATATATCTCTCATTGCAGTTCACAAACCCTGTTTCTTTACAGAGCAGCAGAAAGATGCCATTAAGACAAGATTTCTTATGCAAGAAATCCTCAATACCACGCACTAAATTTAACTTTCATGTATTATAGTATTCCACCATTAATAACGAAATGACTTATCTTCTCCGCCACCACTTTCTGAAAACATTTTCTAAATTCTCTAGAAGCAGCGGGAATAACGAACAAGGGAGATCGTCCGGTATCATCCAAGCGCCTTTCCATGGGAACCAAAGGGCTGGTTCCTGGCCAGCCATACCCACTGTTGCTCCGCTCGAATGCAAACTTAATATGGCTAACACCTTCGTTCCCTTCTCACGCTTCCCAGTGCTCAGATCCCATATTCAGGCGACTACTCGCTTGCTTTTGGAAAAGTTGCTTCCTCGGCCACTCCCAACCTTTCCCTTCCCCGTCGCGGTCGGGCCTCCCAGCCTAGCTTGCCTTGCCCGGCCCAGGTCCGTTCGTACCGACTGCGCCTCCTTTGCTTTTCTTTTTCTTCTTGCGTTTTTTCTTGGCGTTTTCATCGGCAACAGCCCCACCGGCACTTTCTCTTTCCTCGGGATCCAAAAGCAGCTCTCCGTTCAGGTGTTTCTCCTCCACGGGGATGGCCTCTTGCTCAACACCCGCCATGTTGAGCGCTCGCCGACGTTCCCAAGACTGCCACTTACAAGAGGCATAGAAGGGGGAGGACATCAGAAAGGGCTGGCGCTCGTGCTCCAGTTACTCTATGGTTCAGAACAGAGGCACGCCGGGAAAACGGCACCAAGGCGGCGATAGGGAAGCGGCGGTTGTACGCATGTGTGTCTGGAAGGTTCCGCGATGCTAGAGGTGCGAGCTTTTCTATGGCTATTCGTGGGAATGTAATTGTTTATATAGATTTACTAGGGCTCCGGCTTTCCCACTAAATTATAATATGGTTCTGGTTTTACAGATTTAACTTGCAGAGAAAGAACACGACGAGCGATTAAAGCCAGATACAGTTGGAAATAAGTCCCACTGAACTCAATGAAACTAGTTTCCGTTAAGCTGCAGCGGAATCACAAGGTCAATTACTGCGGCATACGTTTTCGTACTCAGGCTGCTTCATCCAGTACCCAGATGAAAACTCATGAAAACTTTGACGGCCTCTTGTGTGTTTAAAAGTTTACGATTGCAACCTAGAGGGGAAAAAAGATTTGGACAATTCAAAGAGATTTTCTTTGGTGTAGTTATCTATAGAGCCAGTTTGGTGTAGCAGTTAGGGTATCAAGCTAGAAGTAAGGAGTTTCTAGTTTCCTGTCTTAGACACAAAGTCACTGGGATGACCTTGGGATAGTCATCTTCTCTCAGCCTTAGGAAGGAGGCACTGGTACAGAATACAGCCTCCTGAACTGTTGAAGTCTCAAGAGTGGATACATTGGTTGCCAGTTTGTTTCGGTTCCAACTAAAGGTGTAGGTTATTGCCTTTAAAGCCCTCTGTGATAGCGGCCCCCAACCTTTTGGGCACCAGGGAACAATTCCATGGAGAGAGGTTTTTCCGCAGACTGGAGAATGTGTGGTTATGCATGCTGCCTGCATCCCATGAATGGGGCTTTGCTTGTTTTTGTGGCCTGGTTTCTGGCATGCCAGGGCTTGGTGCTGATCTACAGCCCAGGGTTTGGGGCCTCCCGTCTCTATGACATGGGTTCAGGTTATCTGAGGAAATAACTCACTCCAATGGGATTAGCCCATTCCCCATCCATGGCAGAAGAAGAAGCATGCTGAGGATCCTGTTGGTCAAGGAATTTCAGCTGGCAGAGTCCAGGAGAAGAGTATTTTCTGCTATGGCACCCATCCTCTGGAACATCATGCCTCCCAAAATGAGATCTACACTCACCTTTTTGGCTTTCTGAAAGAGCTTGAAGACTTGGCTTTGCCAAATGGCCTGGGGCCCCATTGGGGAAGTAGCATCTTGGCCGTGGTTAGTGGATTAGACACCTCCTCCCTGTGTGCACTTTGTTCCCTTCCTCTCAACCTTGGTTAGTTGAATTTTAACTGAATTTTAAAGTGTGGTCTTCATTTACTGTTTTAATGCTTTATATGGTATTTTTATTGAATGATTGTAAGCTACCTAGCATCGGCTTGGCAAAATAGGTGGCATAGAGGTTGAATAACTAAATATAATGGCAAACCACTTCTGAAAACCTACCACAAGAGAAAGGAAGAAAAAAGTCATGCATAGCAGGGCTTTTCAACCGGTGGTACGCATACCACCTGTGATATTTTGCCACATGGCAGGTGGTACCGGCTGCTAGCCAAGTGTAGCAGGGGAAGGGAATGAGCCTAAGAGAGCTGCAGCTGGTGACTGTCTGGGCTTGGCAGAAGTGCCAGGAGCCGCAGGGCTCTAGCTGATTGGCTTCAGCTGATTTGTGCTTCCAGAAGCAGCTGGAGCTGGAGGTGAACTGAAGAAAAGGGGGGAAGAGAGGAGAGGCTATAAAAGAACGTGGTTTGGATGGGGGAAGGGAAAAAAGGCAATAGGAAAGGTTTAATCCCTTTAAACAAATGTAATTAGTTTTACCTCCTTTAATTGAGTCTGTCTATTATGGCTTTTAGAAAATGTTCTTTGAAGGTAAACAGGCTTAATTTAAAGAAGCTTTTCACAAATGCCGAAGCCTTTCATTCTAGGATTGCAACATTGTGACACAAGTGAGGCAGCTTAAAGAGAAAAAACAACAGAGTTCGTGTTTATTTTCTTGCTTTGCACTTGATTCCTGTGTCTTTAAGGTACAGGAAAGGGATGTGGAAGAGCTCAGAAGGGAGAAAGGAAGAAGGGCCGACCAGCTAGTTCAGGAGTCTACAAACTTAGCAACCTTAAGACCTGTGGACGTCAACTCCCAGAATTCCTCAACCAGCCATGAGAGCTGAGGAATTCTGGGAGTTGAAGTCCACAAGTCTTAAAAGTGCCAAGTTTGAAGTCCCCTGAACTAGCTGATAGTGGTGCATATTAATAAACAAGGATAAATTCATCATACATTTGTCAGTGCAAAGGGAAAGGGATTCAGCAAAGGAACAGCCACCAAAGAAATTAAAACTGGTACTTTTTTCTCTTTTTTTTACAATTTGTAATATTTTATTAGATTATAGAATAAAATACAAAAATACAAAAGCAAATAGTAGGACACAGTGGGGAGGAAAAAGGGGAGAAAGGGGGGGGAGAAGGGAAAAAGCAGACATCCTCTATTGCAGAAAAAGAAAGCATTAACACCGAACCTGAACTTTTTACTTTTCCATAATATTATAAGCTAGTCATTTCTATAACAACAAATGAATCTAATCAGTAAAACCCCAAATCCCCCCCCTTTTTTAGTCATCAAGTTTTTGACACCTTGCTGGTACTCAAATATTGTCCTAAAAGTGGTACAATCTGTGAAAAGGTTGATCTATAATACTGCACTATATGGTGGTACAGAATTCTGTGACTTTGTTTCAAGCATTTAAAAGAAATATGAAATTGGATCTCATGCCTGTATATAACCTGTCACAGTTCAATATATTCCTGAGAAATACAATTTACAATACCTTGAAAACAGTCTAGATTCATTTTTTACTCCCTAAGAATATAGAAAGAAGAAATGTGGACATGTGTAAGCTAGATCCTCATTGTTCTAAGCTACATTCTGTTTTGACCCTGGTCTGTTGAATAAGTTGTGAAGCATGAGTTAGCACATATAAAATCATAACCTATTGTTTTGTAAACTAAAACCAATTGGGTTTGCATCCAATTTTTGTAAAATAAAAAAAAGTGCAAAATGTTTAATGTGGTGTATGACCATGAGTAATATATGGAGAAAGGCAAGAAAAAGGAACTTCTATTTTGTGCAAAAAGCAATATTTATATTTTATACATTGATTTTCCAATCCAATAAGGAATAGCTATAGATGCACATCTAAAATGCAGTTAATTTAATAAATATTCACAGCTTTTTCTATGAATAGAGATGTGACTAGTTAGACGTAGGATGCATCAGAGGACTTATTTAAGTTACAAAATGATTTTAATGGAATTTAATTTGAATAAAAGTAAAATATATGTGCCAAGTACCTAACAAGCTTTTCTCAAGCCAAGAAAATGTTATGTGTCCAGCAGTCAAGGGAATTAATGCCTTCACAGCCAGAGAAACAAATACAGCACAGAGGGAGGGCCTGTGACCCTAACAAATTGGGTTAAGAAATATGGTTTGGAGAATGAAGCAGAATATTACTTTTTTCCCTATTCAGAATATTAGATGAAAAAATTTTAGGCAGTTTATATTTCACAGAACACTGAAAGGATATAATTTAATGGGCGTGATGATGATGGAGTTCTAATAGTGGCTCAAAACTATTAATGTGCATGCACTTATTTGAAAATCAAGTATTATTTTCTATACTAATAGAGTGCTTGGATTTAGTCGAGATTTTCTGTTTCAGAGATAAAAGTGGTGGGATTCAGCTAATTCGGCAGAACCATTATCTATTTTTTTTGTTGAGTTTGCAAACCGGTTTGAAAGGCCTGACTAGTTTGTAAGTCTTTCCCCTTTTCTTGGAAATGACTTCATTTCCCTCCCCCCAACCCCAAGTTCTCAGTCTCTCTTTCAGGAACCCCAATGTTTGCGCTGTGGTGACCAGTTCCTCTTTCAATGTGCAGCCACCACGTGCCAGTTCCAGGGAGCACCCTCTGCGGCCAGCCGTCGCTCAACCTTTGTTTTGCCTTCTTCTCACCAGAGCGTCTCTTGCCTAAACCCGCAGGGGGGGGGGACGGGAAAGGCCTCACTCGGGCTCCCTGTGCCACCATCAGCCTCCCGCCGTCCTAACCGCCAAAGTCCCGCCACTGAGAAGACAAGCAGTACTGAGTTCCTCTGCCCAGAGAGGGGCTTCTTCAGGCTCCGCTTCTCCGCAGGGAGAAATTTGCAGCTTTGAGTTCCTGGGGTGGTGGTGCTTTAGAAGGCTACCATGGCCCTCACCATTATGCTCTGCACACTGTTGTCTCCTTGGTGGCAGGACTTTGGTGGTTAGGATGGTGTGATGAACCTTGAGATCTGCAACCATGAGCAGTGGCAGTGACGCAATGTGCCATGTAGCATGCGGCCACAGAAGAACTCGGGTAGTGGCACGACAGCTGTTGGGGCGTGGGAGATCTGGCTGTAGCGGTCCTAAGGTAAGTGGGTGCCTGGGACATCTCTACCACCCACTCCTGCCCTAGCTTGATTTTTTACATGTGCGTCAGATATTTAATATTTTTTCATTAATATTTTAAAACTTATAACATCTAGTTTTGTGTACCCTTTTTATTGTTCTTATTTAAGTATTAAATGCAAGAAATAATAAACTACCTTTCAATATATCTTTTTTTAATATACTTAAAACGGTCATTAATAGAGAATCGGTTGTTAAATTATTTGCATCCCACCACTGGATAAAAATTAGCAATAGCAATCTTTATTATAGTCTTTGACTATACACACACACACACACACACAAAATACATTAAATATACATTAAATAGCAAGTAAGAAGTTATATGAAAAGGAATGAAGGAAAAATGTTAAAGGTATCAAAAATGCAATGTTATGGACTATATTCATTGCCTCATTCTTAAGCAGCAAGGCAAAATTTGGCAATGTTATGGGTAATTGTACTTTTATGTTCTGCTAAAAGACTGGAGATGTACCATGGCTCATGGATTTTTTTGGGAATTCCTT